CATTGTTTAGAAGTTCAGATTATGAATTATCTTAAATGACAAACACTTCATTTATATTTAAAAGAATTGAACAACTACAGGTAACTTGTGAGATCTTGAGATTAGCACTTTTTACACTAATACAGTGAATCATTTAAAATCTCTCCTGACTTCAAGCACTGCAGTGATCCTGCCTAACTGTGTGTTGTTTGCTTCATCTTTCTCTCTGTGTGTGTTTTGAATGCAGCAGAGCTGCAGAGGGAGGGAAGCATCGAGACGCTCAGCAATAGTTCTGGCTCCACCAGTGGCAGCATTCCCCGAAACTTCGAGGGCTACCGGTCCCCTCTCCCCACCAATGAGAGCCAGCCCCTCAGCCTCTACCCCACCGCTTTCCCCTAAAACCAGCCGTCCCGCCCACATCTCAGACCCAAGGAAACCTCTCTGTCGCCTTTGGACAATCTTGACAGTACAACCACAACACATCACCCACGAGAGAGGCCACGCTCTCACCCTGCATCCTGCTCTCCTATATCATTTCTCTCTTCTTTGAAATGTGGATTTTCCTTTAATCAAACTCGGCATGCAGGAAAACAATGTTCAATCAGGCCCGGTGTTAACATCCTTCGTCATTCACTTCCCTTGTAGATTCATTTTAATGTTGCCTCCACCTGAGAGAGAGAGAGAGAGAGAGAGAGGGAGAGAGCGCGCGCGAATATTAACTATGATGGGTCGGACGTACTGTAGAAGGGATCCATTGGAGTTGCCACTTTTCTCAAAGATGTGTCATATTACCAATATCATTATCAATCGAACTTCCAGTACGTATCTTTATTGAACGCATGTGCGTGAGTGAGAGTGTGTCTTCATCAAATACGAGTCCTGATTACCTCTCAGTAGTTGAGTTTAGGTTTGAGCTTAGAGAGCGCTATGCTGATTTTTTTTTTTCTTCCGATCAACACATCATTAGACAAATAGTGTTTGATATATTTTAGTAAACATGTACTATAACATTTGAATTGATTTGACTTTTATAGGTAATCAAACATGGTTATGTTTACCATTTAATCTTGTGTTACATTATAGTGTTCATTATTCCGCACATTTTTTTCTGTATATTAGATTTTTTTTTTTTTTTCTTCAGTTTTTTGGATTCAATTTTATTTGCTTTATAAATTAAGTAGTTTCAAATGATTTAAATTCCTTTCAATTTACGGGGGAAATGAAATGTATTTATTCTTTCAAAAAGGATTTTTGTGTTCTAATGTTTCCTTGTTTGATTGGCTTTAATAGGATGTGTGCGAGGCTGATATTTAGCAGTGGTGCTCTCAAGGATCCACAGCAAATTTCATTCAGCTCAGGTGATTTAGACACTACCCAAATGTTAAAAAAGTAGTTCCATCATTATCATTCTCATTATTATCATCAATAATTTGTATTAGCTTATTTAACTATTTAAAAAGGCTTTGTTTGAAGAACTTGCTTGACTGGATGTAACGTTTTACATACACTCACAAATACCAATTAAACAAGAAATGTGAATACATGGTCCTAATCATCAGCTTGTCAAAAAGCTTAAAGAGCCTGCTGTTGGCTGACAGCACTGTGCATGTTGAAAGCCTCAGTAGCTGCAGAGGAAACATGAAGAGTTTGTTCACCGTAATTTATTACGCCATTCAAGTTGGCATGACTTTAAGTCTGAATGCAGTGCACATGCTTTGGATGGACTATATTTTTTGTAATAATACTTTCGCAATGTGATCTTGAAATAGGAATTTATGCAAGTGAATTTAACGAGTCTTCTATATACAGTATTTGCGTGTTTGCTTAATACAGCATATGCATTCTGACTTCCTTAGTTTGTTGTTTTCCCTTGTTAACTTACCTTGCCCTCTCCTGAATATATTTGTTATACAAAAAATAAATAAAAAATAAATGCATTTAAATGACAAGATAAAAATCTGGGCCTGAGGCTATAAATCTCAATCACTGCCTTTGTTTAGGGAACTGTTTTTTTATCATTACGAATCTTCCACAGGCTTCAGGACAGGCTGAGATTTCTTCCGTCACTGCTTTAGTTGCATGTGTGTGAGCTTTGTTTCATGATATTATAATGACAGGTTTATTTGCAATTATATAGAGCAGCTGAATTTTCCAGAACAAGTTGTCTGTTGTTAAACTTATTTAGGAATTTATCAATATTATAAATGTGCTCTTAAAATATTGAACTTGCAAAATTATTTTAAACATGTTGAGTAATTATACCTGATAGGAAACAATATAATGTGTATACAAAGTGCCATTTACTTATAAAAACATTATTATGCAACTTGATCTGATGCAGTAGACCGACAAAATCACAAAAAAGCCATTGTTGTTATCATAGTGATTTTTATTGTGCCGAGTCAGACAAGCAGAAATGTGTTGCATGCAAAGAAGCAAAAGGTCATTTTTTTCACTTTTCCATTCTCACCAGCATCTTAAAGCATCTTCTCAACGCTTCCACCTTACACACACACACGCACACACATACACACACACAGTCACCCTTAGACAGTAATGCTGCACACAGTGTCTCAAAGGCGACGTGAAGCAGTCATGACGGTGTGGAGGACAGTGGCAGAGCTCAGACTCTCCATCTGGGAAGGTCAGCCCTCGATTCTCTCGGTCTCCTTCCAGACCGCCAGTGCCACCTTATCACCGGAGCGACAGCCTATAAATACCAACAGAAGATAGTAGGCATTTCAGTGAGGAGTGTCAGAGGTTTCCTCCTTTCTGCGGGGTCAGAAGGCTGCTGTGCAAATTTGTACATTTAGTTAAAGAAGCATTAATCTATAAACAGTCTGCCGTTTAGTCACTGTGGCACTGATACAGAATCTACCATGAGTCAATCTGTCAAGGCTTGTTGGCAATACATGTAAGATTTTGTGGCTGTTTGTTCCAAAACACTCCTTGAATCCTCTACACTCCATGTATCCCAATGGGAACGGGCTCCATTCAGTAACAGGCTGCTTTCTGGCACGGCTGCTGGTCTCTCCCCCCTTTGGAGGTCATGCATCCCTTAACTACGAACTGAACTAATGGCAGCTCCTCTTGAACCATAAACAGAAAACATAAGGTTAATGTCTTTAAAGGGGGAAAAAAATAGTGAATCTCAACCACCTTAGAATAAAGTATATTTTACTGTTTTCTTGTAGGTATTTTTTTTTAACACAATAACCAAAAATCCAGTAACTTGTTTTTCATTTTATATCTGCATGAAGATGTCTTTTGGCCCCATATGCAGCCCTGTTTTTTGGATGTGGAAATAAAAGCTTGTAAATTTGTACTAGCTTTGCTGATTTTATTCGCATAATGCATTGTTTATAGAGTTTTAGTGGACAAGATTTTATTAAAAATAAAAAAAGACATTAACCTTGTTAAAATTTAAGAACATTAATATACAACATTCAGGTAAGCGTCTCTTTTTATCAGTATATTTTGAATAGAGAACAATCTTAATCAACTCTGTTACTTTGATTTTGTACAAAACATTTTAAACTTTTTTTTGTACTAAACATTTGTTGATTGAATAAAGGATATTTGTATAAATATAAGAATTATATCATCTTAAACACCTTGTAGTGTCATGAACTCCACACACAAGACTTGTAATAGGTAAAACTCAACCCTGTTACCTTTTTTTGAAAAGGCTATATCTATATCCCAACATGTTATGATGTACATTGCACTGTCAGTCACATTCATTATATTTTAAAGACATTCTTTGTCTGATATAAATGTTTAAGAAAGTCACTTCACAAATGCTTTGGTGAAAATGTATAAAAGCGTCATTTCCTGTAGGCCTAATAAGCAAATTATTCGCGCGGTTCGAAGGAGCTAAAGTGTTCGCCACACAATTTATCTGCTGTATTCTACATAAGCCTATTTACGACATACAAAAAAAAAAAAACATGTTTGCAGCCAGGGGCTGGTTGGTTGGAGGTTGGCTGTTGCCTTCCAGTAAACCGTAGACAATCGCTTCGTGTTGTAATGTTACTTGTCAATCAGACGAGGCGTGTGAAGCACTCATCTCCACAACTGTTTGAGAGACAGTAAACTGAATAATATCTGACAGTTCCTGGGGGATTAAAGGGGTCAGTGTTGACAATAATGTGTGACACACACTATTTTTCAATTAGCTGCTGAATAGCTTCGATTAGATCAACTTATCTTCAGGATCTCCACACCACACCTGGACGCGCATCTCATCAGCGTTTGCTACTCACAGACTCAACGCTAACAGATACAGTGAGAACAATCTTCCTTTATCTTGAAGTCATTCTCACTGAATAGCGCCGGATTGATTGTGAAAGGGTGGTTGTTTTATATTATTGATGTTACTACGCAGAGTTTTCCCCCCTCATCCCTTATTTCTTATCCTATTACAATGACAAGTAGTTTAATCTTTACTATTTGAGTCTGTGGAAAAACATTATTTAGTATAAAGTGTATAATAAAGTATATTTAACGACATTAATTATAAAGTCGGAAACACACATTGGGTACATGCAAATCGTATATAATATAGAAAATATGTTTATTTATTCACACTGCACAATACATTTTGGAGGTGATAAAATGATTTAAATGCATTAGTATTTTACAATTGTTCGTTGGAGAGTAAAGTAAGCTACTTGTTTGAGTTAATATAGTCTCAGTAAAGTAAAATAATTACCTAGATGTGTGCAGAGTAATAAAATCTACAGCATTCGTATTGCTGTTTTAAAACAACAGGATAACCGCCACAAAAGGAAGTGAAAATAATAAAAAATAAAATATTAAATAGCTATTTAACGAATGATACGTCTATTTTTTTTTTATCTCATTCCGCTTTTGTTATTAAAAAACATATTATTAAAACTCCAAATGGAACTGTATATTACTCAAAGTAAAAATTCAGCACAATACAATAGAAAACGTAAGCTCAGTTGCGCAATTGTTGTTACAAGTTAAATGAATGGAAACAAAGATGTTTTAACATAATGATGAAAAACGTTTAGTGCTGAACCTGATTAGTGTATCATTACATTAGATCTGAAGGCAATCTACACATTTGTATCAACAAATAACTTTAAAATTTACAAAAGGGTAAAGCACTTGTTGCATATAAACGGAGCATGATGCTTCATCGCTGAAGTGGAAATGATGGGCTCAGTCAGCATCACAGCACAAAAGCTCAGGGGACCGAGAAAGTCCTCTCTCTCTCTCTCTGTGTGTGTTTGTCATCATAAAGGAAACAAATTAATCACTGATTTAATTACTAATACAGTGTGATATTTACATGTGTAGCCTTGCTGTTCACACCTCTACATATCAGCTTCATGGCTAATATATGTTAAATGTGTTGCTTCTTGTGATTATAACATTTTAAAAATGTTTTTGGTTACACAATCTATGGTTGTATCAACAGGTTATTGCTAAAGCATGAAACAGAGCCTGTTATTATTTTCAGTTGTTACGGATGTTTGCGAAACACAATTAATCAATGTGTAATACTTAACATTATTTAGTATAAAATAACCGAGCTAAGCGTTCAGTGTGTTAAAACTCATGCTTGAAATTTTTTTTTATATTGAATTGAGAGGGAAAAAAAACGGGTTTCCATACTAGACCACATTTTTTTGGTTTGCTTCTGTCTCTGATGATGGCACTACACGGCACTGAACGGGCAGCAGAACCAGGTCAAATAATTCCCTGAGGTCATTAGAGCGCCCCCACCTGTTACCTGAAAAAGGTGTAGCTTCTAATAACCATCACGCCGTGCTTCGCCCAAATCAATTTAAGCAACAGATTTAGTCATTTTGAGTTGATTCTGAAAGTTCAGAATTATTAAAGCATTATGGGGAAAATACTGAAGGATTTGCTGATGCTATTGAATATGATGATTGCATGAATGATTTACCATTTCCACCAAGAAAACTAAAAATATAAAAAAAATCTTGATTGTTTTGAAGCGATTGTTGGTTGATCACTGAAGCCGGTGCATATTTATTACCTCGAATCTTCTTTTTCCCCTAAATGCCTAAAACCAGCGAACCCGTTTCTCTACAAACTATATCTTTATCACTATTAATAAATGATAATATATAGTTAACCACGAACGCCTTATAAAGATAACATGTCGCGACTCGCTTTCAAACAAAGGCTAATATGTCTTGTAAAAATACAATAATGAAATCATATAAAGTGTAGCAATATTTCTGCAGTATTAGACCTAATAATTGTGAATTCGACCGTTTCAAAAAGTTACAACCAAATTATGATCCGTAACATCTCTAGTATGAGTTTGGTTTGGGTCAAATTTTGATGAACATTCTCTCTCAAATAGTAGGTTAAAATTTTAAAACCCAGTTATGAGGACAGTGGTTCTCGTTCATAGAAATCATGTTTTGTTGTAAATCTATTGAAATCAACAGGTTTGTGTGAGGATTAGGGTGGGGGTTAACAATAGCATCACCTCGGAATAAAGATTATTGTGCTACGTGTTTTATACTAACGTGTTTTATTTATAACATGCTACGTGTTTTATAGTTTCAAGGATTGGGCTTTTAGATTTGTGGAGTATTCTATTGCAAATATACTTCTGGGCAAAAGGAGAGTGGGAGCGAAGAAGCAGAGCACCAGAGCTGTCTATAAAATTGTTGTCTCGCATCCATCAGGCACAGCATGTCCACGTCCAGAGGAGGTTCTGCTGACTCGGTTGGGTGATACAAAATGGGCTATGCGAAGAGCAAAATTGTACGATTTGGCAAAATAAGCACGAGCAGATCAAATACACTGTCCTAATGAAAAAGAGGAGACATGCGGAAATGTATACAGGGTGTGTGTGGATGGGTAGTAAGAACGGAGGAGAGAGAGCTGGACGGAAAGGAGGAGGAGAGAGGGGGCTGCTAGCTGGTGGAGGCGCTGGGTAGCTATACATGTGACAAGGGGAAATATGAGGGACTTTGACAGGTCTTAAACGGTCTGGCGCCAAGGCCTCAGTCTACTGGCTAAATATAGCAGGAGAGATGATGCAGAGAGATGATGAAAAGATGAAAAGAAGGAGCAACAATGTAAAAGCAGAAAAAAGGAGCAACGGTCATTTAATGATCAGCCCTAGAGGATCATCTGGTTTCATATATGTGAAAGGTATTGCAAAGGTTTGCGTTATCTTTTTGCAGGAACATATTAATTTCCTTAGAACCTGGAAACACAATTAGACACATTGTCTTACAGCGGACACCGTCTCAAGGACACAAAAGCTGACAGAAGCAGATCATGCATAAAAGTTTGGCACCAGGCTATTTTTAACTAATGAAAATCTCCTCTGGTCGAAGCTGATGCACATAGACACTTCTCTACATCTCCTGACAAACCTTTACCCGTGTTTGTTTGTTTGTTTTTTTCGTCATTACAATCATTCGGAATACAAGTGGTCATTGACTTTTCGACGCCTCGTTGTTTTGGCAGTAAACAGTGGCAGTGCTGTAAAAAGTTTTCCAGCATGAATGCTTTTTAAATCATGTGTGATAAGAGCTCAGCGCATGATTACGTTCTTGTCGGTTTAGATGTGTACAGCAGGAAAAATAAATCTGGCGTAATTGCAAAGACTTTGTTGATGTGATTACTTCCTTAAGTATATACATAGAAAACCATTCCCATTCCCATGTGTGCTTAATCTCTTCCCAATCCAAATCACTCTCTGTCGAAGTTTTAGCCCAGAGATCAAACAAAGACTATTGATTAGTCCTGTTTCAACACCTTGCTGCTGGTAACACTTCACATATAAAGAATGTGTACATTTTCATAACAATCTTTAATATTTACATCAAATGCACTAGATAGGCCTGTTGAATAAAAGTGGAAACGGCATTTTCAGTGTCAGGAAAAAAGTTCAATCACTAAACCAGGAAGTACATTGATCATAAATTGGACGTTTCTCCTCTTATAATTTATGTTAATATATTGTAGGCTTATTTGATTTGTCAAAATGACGTTCGTATAATTAACTAGGCTTTATTTAAAGTTAACACTTAATATTCTAAATGACTGTGAAACTCAGCATAGGAGAGGTATGAGTTTATTTTACTCTCATCAGACAATTGAGATAATGTATTTTAGCATGGCTATTAATTTTAGCTTTAAATAATGAAGATTTTATATCAGGAGACACACTGCTTATTTTCTTGTTTGCCATTTCGTTTGGCTATATTTAAACATTCTCCATCATAAAAGCAGCAAAACGTTTTAATTCAAAATCTACATGTATTTAGCTATATTGTCCTACCATACATTTTGAACATGTTTCGTTCGAATATTGATTTATTTTCATTCTGTATTATGTTAATTTGGTATTATTTTCCCGTCTTTTAAAACAAAATCGTATACTATTTAAATAATTAGCATACCTGTCTGTTAAAGGCGAACATATCCCATATTTTAGTGTCAGTTTTAATAAATCCCGCTTTAGCTCTGTGTCTGTTCACTCGTGGCTTCGGCAACAAGTGTCTGCCTACCTGGTCTGCTTTTTTTCTGTTTACGGTGCGGATTTAGCTAATATATTCTTATGCATTATGTTGTGAATGTGTTATTTAACTTCTCAATAGACAGTCATGAATTTGCTAAACATGTTATCCGTGTTATCTTTGAATATTTAATGTTAAATTCGAAAACGCGCAATACAATCATTTTTACAAAGATCGTTTAGTTGTTTTAATGACAGTATGGCGTGAGCTGCAATCCGTAATGCGCTGTAATGAAACCTATGCTCTCTAAACCATTTTATGTCTAATTTAGTAAATATCACAAATCGTGCAACTAAACACAAAAAGCCTGTATTAAACGTCCTAGCTGCCGTTTTAAAGAACAACTGCAAACGAATCAAGTTTCTGGCCAGCTGTTGACAAAAACAATATACTCTGATTTTTACTTTGTAACTTTTCAGTATTTTATAAGCAATATTTAATCACTCTATCAGGTCCTCTCTGGCACAGTAAGGGTTAAACATCCAGTCTGTCATCATGTTCTGCTGATTTGTATCGAAGTGTAAAAGTGACAACATTCCGCAAACGGTTAAATCCGTCCGCACAAAAACATAGATTGGACATTGACGCGTTTTGGAATTATTGGAAGTATTCAGTGCGACATCTGATCGAAAAGCATACACTGAGATGCTAACTTATAAAGATCTCAAGTCATTTGGAGACAAAGAAGGCAAGCGCAAGCCAAAACTTTGGCGTAAATGCTAAAGGGATTGGAGTGCACTGTTAGAGGATTTTGGAGTAAATATGAACTGACAAGAGACGGATCTTACTGCGGTACGTCAGCCGACTGGCGCCAAGCGGCTATCTAACAAACCCAATCCAAGTAAATCTAGAGTCCACGAGTGGATTTCTTAAAGGTATAGACTACACTTATGGCTCAACCCACTGCTAAAACTACAGGTCGAAAGTAGATGGTGAACATTTATAGTGGCCTGCCACTTAAACCTAAATGCACTGAGATGTATGTTATTTTTTGAGCATATGAGGAGCATATGCTTTTATCCCCTCACCTGTACATTAAGCGTTAGTATCAATAAAATACATGTAAATTCACGAATACAATACCTTTACATTCGCTAAACAGTTGTATATTGCGACATAGGCTAGGCTATATGGAGTATATTAAAAATAGTTAACAACCGCAGATGTCTGTTAAGAGTTAACAGTTAAGAGTAATGCAGCACTCACCAAAATTATCTTTACATTGGTCTTTAGATTCCAACAACTTTCTTCCTCTTTCTTCAGTATAGCGCGTGGCTGTGCGCTTTGAATGACCCGGTGCAGAATTTAAAGTACCAATGTCCGATTTTTGGCTGCTGTTCCTCACATGAAGTCGGTCGGGACACACGCACGCAGCACGGAAATAGTTATTCACACAGTGAAACGTTGAATTCAGTTCATACGCACAACAAGGTCCTTTGGCTATGAGTGTGCAGTGCTACATTATGAACAAAATACTTGTACGCGTCACTTTGACATGAACAGCGAAAAGATAAACGCCATTTGGTGTGTTCCTGATATTTTTACTGACTATTGTGAAGTTATCCTCAATTTATGTTTTAAAAAGCATATAATATTTTGCGCTAATTAATCATAACAATTTGCACTTTTTGTTAATTTACACGTGAATAATCTTAATTCCTAGTTTTCAGTGTATCGAAGAGTGAGTTTGTTCCTCGAACAAGGAGGCATCGTAATTATAAAGCGTAAGCCGACCGAAGTGCAGTCACCACCGGCTAAGCACTGAAGGCTGACCCGGTGCTTGGCTCGGAGACGGGGGTGGGATTTCCCGATCTTTTCTGTCATTGGTTAATATTTTATTCTGTTGACATGTTTTCTTACTGCTAATGCTTCCGACACCTTCTTGTCCACCCCCTCTCCTTGAGCCTGGCCGGAGCTGTCAAAACCACGCCTATGGAGGCCCACAATTGGTCCAGAAAGCGTAAAATCAGCAATCAAGGGGGTTTGGTTCATTAGTGCTGGGATCAGAGCAGGAAGGACATGTGAGATAGTTACAGTTGTACAGTGGACAGAGCAAGCTCTAACCATTTCAACTCCGTGTTGGCGTAGAATGACTGCGCTTGAATGGACATCCGCATCGAAAGAGTAATCTTTTTATGAGAGCATCTGTTGGAGAACAGGAATCCCCAAATCTGCCTTCAAAGCGTCGTTGCGCTCACTTTGACTGATATTATTACGGGGACTTCGTGGAAACTAGCAGCTACGGGAGTTAAAGTGGAAGATCCTTACCACGGTCTTTGCTCGCCTTTTCGCGATTCACATTTTGCCAAAATTGCCTTGCTGCGCTTTTCCTCCTCGTAGTGAGACAATCTATCGTCTGGATACGCGCTGCTTTTGCCGGAGAACACCACTAAATATATATTTTTCACTACGATTGTTGGATGCACCGATGAGAGATCCAGTTTTTACAGGGACTGCGATGGCTTACCACCCTTTCCACGTTCACCGGCCAACCGACTTTCCGATGTCAGCTTTTCTCGCGGCCGCGCATCCCTCCTTCTTCCCGACGCTGACCTTGCCTCCCGGGGCTCTCACAAAGCCGATCCCGGACCATACTCTCGCCGGAGCCGCGGAGGCTGGGCTCCATCCGGCTCTGAGTCACCATCATCAGGCAGCTCATCTTCGCAGTCTTAAGAGCCTGGAGCCAGAGGAAGAGGTTGAAGACGATCCAAAAGTCACACTGGAAGCGAAGGACCTATGGGACCAGTTCCACAAAATAGGAACAGAAATGGTTATTACGAAATCTGGCAGGTGAGTTCACAGTTGCTCTATTTTTAGTCTGTTGTTTCAGTGTTTATACGAGGGAATATTATGATGCACTCAGCGTTTCACATATATTCCACAATAAATTCGCCACGGATTGAAAAGGCTTCTTATGTCGATGGCAGTGTAGTTCAGCAGGCCCAGGAAATTCATTATTAAATCTGTCTTTTGCTCATCGCTCTCATAAGTCATTTCCCCTTTATTTCCCTATTAATGTCTTGCGCGCTGAACTGGCTGACCTAATTATGATGTCAAAGAGACTGTAGAAATGGATGTCTTACTGTCAGAACATGTGTACCTGAACGATTCATCTGCTCATTTGACTTATGAAAACAAAATGGGGAAAGTACAAGCGATGCGTATTCTGTGGCTAGCAAAAGGAAAATAGCTGAGGCTTTTTTTGTTGCTTCTATCATTATCAACAAATATTGACTTTCAAGGCACGGTGTGGCACAGTTAAATCGTGCTTTCATGTATTTCGTAAAGAGAAATGTTCCTTTTGGTCTGCTTATGTACTGAGGTGACAATAAACTATTTTATGTAAATAACCTGCCACTTTCACGGAAGATTTAAGTCTTGCGGCGAGCTAAATTATCTGCAGCCAAGTGAAATGTTAATATTTGTTGAACATATATTTTTAATGCGGTTGTTTTATTTTTTATATTTTATATATTTGAATAAATCTGGTTAGGGTAAACATAGCACCGAAAACGTTTAAATATTATTTAGTTGTGTTGTTAAAACGTTAAGCTTGCATCTGCCCACATATGCAAAGAAAAAAAATGGGTTATAAAATAAACAGAAATATTTCCTATTTCTACAGGAGAATGTTTCCACCTTTTAAAGCCCGTATAAATGGACTCGATAAAAAAGCCAAGTATATTCTATTAATGGATATTGTGGCTGCCGACGACTGCCGCTACAAGTTCCACAACTCTCGCTGGATGGTCGCGGGGAAAGCCGACCCGGAGATGCCAAAGCGAATGTATATACATCCGGATAGCCCAGCTACTGGGGAACAATGGATGGCTAAACCTGTTGCTTTTCATAAACTGAAGTTAACCAACAACATTTCGGACAAACATGGATTTGTAAGTAACCCATTTTTTTTAATAACACGTTTTTGTGTGTTGCATGTAGTTCTGTTGTAATCGTGTGTTGCTGTGTAATATATAAATATAAATTTACTGCCATCTGTGGGCTGTAATGCTAACGCTCGCAATGATTGGACAGGCTTACAATATCGCTGTTTATTTCTGGACGAAGAGAATTATGGATGTGCTAAAATGTATGTTTTGGCTTACTTAATTTCCTCGGCCCATGTAATTCTTTACTGTCGCTACATTGATCTCTTTCTTTGTTTCGGCAAGCTTATAAACCAGATATGGGGTACTAAGTCTTAATTTTATTCGTTATGAATAATGATGACAATGACAGCTTGGTTATGTAATGTAATACATTATCCTGAGTTTTTTCTTGGCCACTGTTACCTCTATTGTTTATGATAGGCGCAGAGCGCTATAATTTTTATGAGGGGGTGGAAGTGACAAAAAATGAGGTCAAAGGAACCGGAGAGACCTTGAATCAGTTTACAAATAGCAACAGTGAAAGTGTAATTTGGGCTGTTTTGAGTGAGCGTAGCAACAAATTGCATAGCGACCTGTGCAGTCTCTGATAGTTTCAATGAACAATGTTAAGACGGATGCAACGATGCTGACCAATACTCTATACGTGATCATGCAGTCAAATATAGTGTGTGGCCTGCTCCCTTACGCGACTTGCAAACAAATCGACTGGAAACAAATGAAACATTTACATGCATAGCACAACCATTTGATATTTGTACAGTCAAATAGAAAATACATGCATGTACATTTTTGTGTGTGTTCATCATCACACTTTGTTGTTGTAAACAAATTGCTTCCATAAATTTTACAATTAAGAAACTCTTTTTTATTTCAGATTTAATTTGTGTTATAATAAGTATCAACACCAAATAACTCGTTGCATGTCCGCGTGAATGTTTTCTGTCTACCTGCCACTGGCACAGGCCTGTTGTGATTTAACCCAAGAACAATATTCCACTATTACTACATATATTATGCGGTATTTATTGTCTAAAACGATTTTAAAGACTAATGACTTGAATGGATAATTATTTTGACAAGCACTAATGTTTTCCATTCCTCTTCCTCTCCTTCTCATTAGACCATCCTGAATTCAATGCATAAATACCAGCCCAGGTTCCATATTGTGAGAGCAAACGATATTCTGAAGCTTCCGTACAGCACTTTCAGGACATATGTTTTTCCTGAGACCGATTTTATTGGTGTAACAGCTTATCAAAATGACAAGGTATGTACCCATATTTGGACGAATTTAAGCAGCCGTGCTCTGGACCTTATAGATGCGTTTAGCATGTTCTCAATTTGATCGGATTGATAGCTTATGTTCACTTAACAAGAGGAGTAGTATTTATAGAAGTAGTATTTTGAATATGTGAATGCAAAAGCGTATCTTTAAAAAAATTCAAATTCCTCCTGTCCAGTGGTACTTCCAGCTACTGCTCATGTTAATTGTAGTCTGTGTCCGAGGGGCCTAGTGAGCTTGTCGGTATCGTAAAGTTTATGACAGAGTCACAATCGATTAGCAAGCACTTAAGCTCGCCGGTTTGTCCGGGAGCTACACACTCTGAGGCTCAGCAATCAAAGCGTGTCAGTTACTAAACGCAAAAAGCAGAGGCCATCTAGCTTAGCAATCTATGAACTTTAAGGCCTTGGTTTCTCCTGAATTTATAGCCTACAGCGTCCAAATCTCTTGGGCACAACGAAAATCGTTCTGTTACATCGCTCTGTATTTTCATGGAACTTGTAAAAACTGGCAATGATTCAAACCACACTATTAATTATTGATAGCAGGTCGCGTCACTCATCTAGTTCGCCTCTCTTGTTCTCTCTATTGTGCTGTAGAGAATACCAATTTGACAAATAAAAAAATGTTTGCTCGTGGAATTTTCTCAGGGGGGTCCTGATTTGATCTTTTTCATTAAACATTTTTAATAATTAAATTATCACTCTAAAGTAGCGTGTTTAACGGTGTTGGGATAATAACTGGTGATCATATAAAGGCTTTGCTTTTTAAGCATTTAAATCTGAGTATTTGACTTGTAGATTATGAATTCGTGCAGCATAACACTGATAACAACAACACCACTACTGCGATTAATAATATTTTAATACCTTAGAGTTAGACTGCCGCTGTATAATTTTATTAATAATGTACAAATTATGAATATAATATAGGCCTACACATCCATTTTTTTTGCATTCAGATAACACAGCTGAAGATTGATCATAACCCCTTTGCCAAAGGCTTCAGAGACACAGGGAATGGAAGAAGGGAAAAAAGGTAGGTTTTGAAACCTTTATAGTTCACATGCATTATTGCGCAATGTAAAATAGCCGAGGAACCGGATTCAAAGACAAAGCCTAGCAAAATGTTTATATTTCAAGGGCTTTATTTATTTATTCTTTTATTTTACTGTGTAGTGTGGGTCAATTTAGGTCATATTTCCTTTTTCACTATTTTAATTAAATTTATGTTATAGGAAACAGCTGACCCTTCCATCATTACGCATGTATGAGGATCAGTGTAAAGTGGACCGTGATGGCGCGGACTCTGATGCTTCCTCAAGCGAACCTACAACCGGCAGAGATGCTGGTCATTCACCTGGACCGGTTTCTAGTCCACTTAGATTTAACCGGAGCAGCAGAGGTAGATCTAAATCTATGAATAAATTATATTGCTATGCTTCAAGATCACTGAGAGGAAACATGCCTAAGTGTCATATCATTTACAAGCCTCTGTACTATGCCTTCAGCGTTTTTCAAGACTATTTTAATAATTGAAAATGTCATTTTAATAAAGCATTTATACTGGAACAATTTCTCAAACAAGTTATAAGACGAATCCGTCTGGAGCAACACATAAGGCCTGGGTTATGGCTAGCCCTGAATTACATTTCGTTAGATTCACATAGGCTAAAGCATGGATGTAGAAAACTAAACCGAACATTCAAAGCTATTTTTTTTAATTGGATACTTATTTATATTTAATCGCATTTATTTTCAGTTGGTCTCATAGTTAGCCTACTACACATTATTTTAGCAATACATTTAAAAAGTATTATAAATTTGACAAAAAATGTCGTTAGCCTGTCAAGCGTTATGAAATTTGGCCTACAACTGGAATAAGGCGACACTAAAACGGTATTTGAAAAAAATATACATATGTAGGCCTAAGTAGTCTACTATATTTAATTTTGTTTTGAACGTGGATAACAAAAATGTTTTTTTTTCATTAATTTTTTTACCACCACAGACGAGAAAACATGCACTGACAGTGAGCACGAATTGGACCACCAAGATGAGCGGTGTGGTGGCTCCAGCAGTCCTGGACCAGAGCCTCCATCTCCAATCAGGTCGAGATGTGAAGACCGGGGGCGGGAGAGGCCTGTTCTGGAGAAGAAAGACGACTATCCGGACTCCCGAAAATCAAGCGATTCTATATTTAGCATAAGAAACGTGGAGAAAGACAAACAAGAGAACAGGCCAAGGAAAGACACAGACTTGTCAAAGAAGGACACGGAAAACGGTGGTATTAGCGGCAGTAAAGACAGCTTCTCTCCTCTAATGATACAGACAGAGAGTCCTTCACATTTTGGGGCAGGGCACCTTCAGAGTTTGGCGCTTTCCGGCCTACACAGTCAACAGTTCTTTAACCCACTAAACACCGGACAACCTCTATTATTCCACCCCGGACAATTTGCAATGGCACCTGGAGCGTTTTCAGCCATGGGTATGGGACATCTATTGGCTTCAATGGCTGGAGCTGGTGGCCTAGAGAATGGAAGCCTGTCGGCCCAGGGAACTGGGAGCACCCCGAGTCCTTTTCCCTTTCATCTGTCTCAACACATGCTTGCCTCTCAGGTAAGGGAACTTTCGCCATTAAAATGTAAATCTAGGCCTTTGCCATGATATGCCCTGGCCTGTCTTATGGAAGCACGTGAATGAAAACAGGCTATGGGTTGCATCTAGAGATAGTTTTGCTGAGATGCTTATGCTTTGCTTGCATGTGGTTGTTAACATCGTAATAATGGCTGTCGAAATATTTTCTGCATTACTAAGACAGAAAAATAAATAAATTGATAAAACTTTAATAAATAAAACTTTAGCCATTGAATACACAAGTCAGATATAGATTTTAAAATATCTCAAAATGTCCTTGCAAATGCGTATCATTTCTTTAAAAATGATTCGTGATAATAGTGACGTAGATTGATTGGCACTTATTTTTGTTACATCTTTGTGATTTTCAGTTGCCTAAAATGTCACAATCGACAATCATTTCTTGTTGCGTCTATTTCTATGCGCCCTAAAAGTCAATAAATACGCCTGCCATTGAAATCAGATGGACTGCGAACAGGTGGCACTATAATCTGTTCAAATTCTGGCTCTCTGAAAATTCGCCATGTAGCAGATTCTCACCTTTCAAACTGTTGCATGCTCGGTGTGCTAAAAGTCGCTAACGAATGTCTCTTATTACAGGGCATTCCGATGCCAACCTTCGGTGGACTTTTTCCGTACCCCTACACCTACATGGCCGCGGCGGCTGCAGCGGCCTCCGCCCTTCCCGCGAACAGCAACACGGCCTCCTCGCTCTCCAGGAACCCGTTTTTGAGCAGCTCCACGCGCTCTCGACTGCGATTCAACCCTTACCAGCTCCCCGTGTCGATCCCTCAAAGCACAAACCTGCTCACTACCGGATTGCCAAGCGGCCTAAACCCCTCATCCGAATCGTCTAAATGCGGTAGCAGGGAAGCGAGTCCTGTGCCTGATCCCAAATCGGGGGCGAGTCAGAGAAACGGCTCACCTAAAACAACAATGAAGGAATCCATCAATGAACTTCAGAACATTCAGAGACTAGTGAGCGGCCTAGCGAGTCAGCGGGAGACTTCCTCACCTAGGGATTCGCCCAAGTGATCAAGCATCCCCAAACCTATCCAGGGCATGACTTGAATTGCCAGAGGATTTTATTAAGTGGTTCTCTGCGAGAAATTTCATTACGTAGTTTTTGCGCATGGATGACTGGAGTGGAAAAAAGCAAACAGCAGTCAACAAGTAAAAATTAATAAAAGAAAACGTTGGACTTTGTGCTCTTGGTGATGGAGATCTGCGTAGGAAGTGCTGCGAAGACAATCTACGGTGTAGCCTAATTGACTCTTTATAGAACATGTTGACAAGACCACACCAATCTATTTAAAAAAAGAAAAGAAAAGAAAATTTACAAATAAAACACTTTTTTTTTCGCGTAACGTCAGTAGAATCACTGCTGGTTGCAATGTCTAAATGGTGATTCACATAAAACCTGTAGAATGAAAACATCCAAGCTATATCCAAAAAGGAAAAGAAAAAAACCCCGAAAAAATCAAATTAAAAAGGATATTTTAAAAAGGATTGAAATGACAGTTGGACCATTAGTTAAATCCGACAGACAGTTATAACTGAACTATTTAATGTAATTATTAATAAAAGAAACCTAATTCTGTAAATAAGCTACAAGGACCTAAGAATATGCAAATTGGTATTAATTTATTCAAAGCTGTACATTTGCGTGTACATAATATTTAGAGTTTAACTCGTTGCATTTTTTTCCCTTTTTTCACTATGGTTGTTGTAAATGAAAGCTATAGCGTTTGTTGTTTGGAGACAGAAGGTGTTCCTATCTGTGATGCGTTGCTGTTTAATCTGCCTGTGACACATAATGAAAGCGTGTGCCATCAATGCATTGTAGCAGTCGCTGTAAAAACACTTATCACGCTGCGGGACTCGCAAGGTTTGGGAAGTCTCAGGTTAATGTACTCCAACAGAAGAGACCCATTCCTCTTCTTGAGCTGAGTTTATATAAAGAAATATATGAACGTGTCCCGTTGTGCTGGCTGTCCGGATTTTTCTGTTGTTGTTGTTGTAGGATTCTTTCACAATTTCAATAAAAAAAAATCAACGTGTTTAAATATGTTTACATTTATGGCACTACGTTACCTCAATGACAAGCTGCACTATTTCTAATGTCATATAATTTATGTATTAGGGAGGTAGCCTATACTGACTTATAACAGGTCACTGAAAATGTTTTTTAGAACAACATGAAAAAAAAAAATTTATATGGGGAAAAAAGCAGCAATGTATTTAATAACTGCAACATGCAAGTAGAAAAAATGTTGGCCAGTATTTGTGATTACTGATCACATGTAATAATAATAAACGTCATGTTTTGGAAGAAATAATAAGTAGAAAATAATAGCCTAAGTATAAATATTTAAAATTTCATCATGGTTTTTAAAGGCGTTTTTAAAAATGTAGCATATCAGTTTAGCCAAAGCAAAAGCTACTGCGCCCTCTGTCGTAGACTCATGTTCCGGATTACTTTAGCTACCCCTCATCAACATCAAAGTGATTTTAAGATACTGACCTCTACAAAGGTAGTTGTTTTATTAGGCCTTTATAGACATCTGCAAACAATTTTGGTTTAGGTGTTTGTTTATTATTATTATTATTATTATTATTATTATTATTAACATTAACATGAAAAAGAGTAGACTATTGTAAAACAATATGATTGCAACACATTCAGACCTAACATATAAAAATATTAACACCAGTAGCAACGTAATGTTCTATAATATAGGCTACTGTAGTAATAATAATAATAATAATAAGCTAAAAGTAAATTTAGGAACACATATTGCGAAACCTGAGCTTAGTGCAGCCAAACTATTTTTGTAGACAAAACGCAAACGCATTTTTGTGATAGGCCTATATTTATATGTAAATCCATAACAAAGTGAAATAATTACACTGTTAGCGTTTGTTTATTTTCTGTCAGAAGATGACCCGTAAAAATGTGCTGATGCGGCTTATGTTATTGAGTGAACGCGACTTATGTTCGTTAGTGTCAATTTACCACCAGGCGAAATATGCACTATGATAACAACTTACTTATAATCTAATGTATATAGGCCAGTCTGACTAATGATAATAATAATAATAATAATAATAATAATAATAATAATAATAATAATAATAATAATAATAATGCATCATGGTACAAAGACCAGAGGTCTAAATTTGAATCCTTTATCGTTTCCAGTGTTTCCTTTGGAGTACAATGCAACCTATTGTGTTGTTTTAAGCCTATTTTTAGTCGTAGAACTGCAATGTACGAGTATTTATAGACAAAGCTTGACTCGGAAGCAGAACTACCCTCCACTCTCCCCACCTCCTTTCCTTCATTCTCCTTCAACGACCCAGATACGTTGTGCGCTTTTTGGCACCGACCATTAATGGTTTGAGCGCGCCCAGAACGTAGTTTAGGTTGTTGAGCAGTAATAAGGTGATAAGCTGTACAGCAGAGACGAAATATTGGGGGTAAACTACTCTCATGTTAAAGTGAAAGGGTTAAGTGCTGCGGATAGGAGGTTAGGGAGGATGAGAGTTTGGACGCCCAGCCACTGTGGCAGCAGACAGCCCTTTGTCCAGCAACCGGCGCCTGTCGCCTGCCTGCCGGCCATGCAGCTTCCCCACACCCGCGTACAAAGGGACAGATCTCGAGAGTTACAGCTCCTAATTAGAGATCCCCCCTTTGTTTCTCTTCTTTTCTTTCTCGTGCAATAACCACAAGCCCTCGTTTTCATTAAGGGGCCATTGTTAAACGCTGTTATATTCAATTAACAGACCGAACAACGCAACCTAACTCTTTGTCCAAACTAATCAGTCAATGACCAATCAATAGACTGCGATGACAAGCAATTACGGTTCTGGTACACGACAAAACCAGCTAAGTGTTTACGTTATTTAGCTTTAAGTCAACCAAATCGGAAAGTGAGAAGGAACGAATCTTAAGCACACAGGCCGAAAGTGACATTATAAGCATAGAAGCCAATTACTAGTTGTTTCTTTTATATTAACGAAAAACAGACAAAAGGACCATTGACAACGTTGGGCTTTTCACAGTCGTCTTTTTTTAATCTGATCTGCAGCAGAAGCTGAAACTGAACACTGAGAAGCTTGAAAATCTATGAAGGCACTGAGGGGTTGAGATGACTTGTTGCTGATATCATTCAATTCTATGAGGCCCAGAAATACCATGTAAATAAGAGCAAGAAAGACTCTTCAGGCTTATTGCCATTTAAAAGTATAAAAGCACTACATCAGAATTTTAGCTCACATGCACTTGAGCAATCTCTACTGGTTTATGTTAATTTTTTTAAAGAACACACAGTCTGTCACACTTGTGCAGAGGTTTATGTCAGTTCATGCTAATATTTGACTTTGAAACACCTTTCAACACATACAATTATTCTAAAATTAATCATATAATTAATATACGAAAATAATAAAGGTGAGCAAACACCATCACCTAATATTGATTTTAACCACACAGTTCAGAATGTCGTTAAATTAGAATATATTTTGTGAATTTAAAAATTCCAATATCATATTTTTGACATATCTGTTGGGTAAACAAGTGAACACACAAAAAAAAAACACACTGGGATACATTCAGGTCAACTATATAATATATATGAATGTAAAATGAATGTGGATTTTAACTTAAAGGACAAGTATTTTCATAAATGTCAGGCCAAAGCAAACTGTCACATATTTTAAATGTTTAAATTTGTACAGTTTAATAAGTACACAATTTGCTAGCCAAACAATGGTTCGATATTTCTTTTACATTTATTGCTGAATTGTTTTGTGCTTCATAATTGTTTCACTTTTGCTGAAAGGCCTATAATACGCTGTTTAATGACAGATTCTGCTGTGACATCTTACCCCGTATAAAGTGACAACACTATCTAAAAATAACACTATGTTTGTTCAGTGAACTGTACCTTTTTGTTTTCTAGGCAATAACAGTGAAAATGTAAACAAGCATCACTTTAGCCAAGACGAGAAGAAAGTGACTTTCAAAAAAAACAAAGTACCCTGATAAAAATATATAAAATGCATTAAAAAAATGTGACAACTAGCCCCAGTCCTGACAACCTATAAAGTTTTATTTTCTCTCTGAATGTGGGTGGTGAGGAGTAGTTGCTTTCATTATGTATCAGGTAAGAAAAAGTGATTTGATGGATTTTTCAAATATTGCAGTGCTTAGGACAAACATGTAATTGTCATCACACCTCCTTGTTGAAGCTTTCAAAGCTTGAGTGAAGCTGTCAGAGTCTGTGTAGATCCTGTGGAGGAGCCTCATTCTCACACAGGTTGTGCATTTAGAAAGGTTGATGGTGAGTTTCTCTGTTCTCATGTATTCTTTCAGTGTGTTTCGAAGGCATTCTGTTAACACACACACACACAAATCACTTTTTGATCAATCAGAATAAATACAATCTGAACAAGGGATCCATCGCCACCTTCTGGACATATTAATGAATATAAGCAATTGGTAATATTATATACATTTATGTTCTTGGTGCATGCTTTCTTACTAAAACAATTTATAATAAAAGGTAGAGATTATAAAAAATGTAGTGGCAATTACCAGGACAGAGAGCTGAGAATACATTATATACTACAAGAAAACAATACACAAGTACTATTCAAAATTCATATAATAATGTTGTATCCATTAAAAGTCCAAAAGAAATCGCAAAGCCTTTAACTTTGCGAGAGAGAGAGAGAGAGAGAGAGAGAGAGAGAGAGAGAGAGAGAGAGAAAGAAAGAGAGAGTAATTAAAATACTTTTAATGAAGGAAAGTGGACAGGATCCAATCATTGTGCCTGTAAAAAAAATGTATTATATATTATAAAACCCAAAACCGATTTATCATATTGGCATTAATATCATTCTAACCTTCAGTTTATTTATTTATTTATTATTGCTGTGAACAATTTAATCATGTGAAGTTACATAACATTCATTGAACAGACCCCAAAAGGCCTTCCTCTGTATCCAGTGCACTGTCATTATGTAGAAAACAATCAGCTCACCGTTTATGCAGTATATAAAACAACCACTAGGTGTCGCAATAACCTTCTAACGTTTCTTTCATTTTTGTGCAAATCAAACAATTCTGCCTCATAACAATTTTCTTTACCAACCCTAATCTCAAACGATTTTAAATACTTACGAAAGCACTCAAAATTCATGTCTATAAATCCCAAGTTTATGATTGCTTAAAAGAAAAGACGCACAGTAATGAGGAACCACACCTAAGAAGCATTCAAACATCAAAAGTAAGATTTTAGAACCAATACAACAACAAATTTAGCT